CCAGGATGGTCTCAATCTCTTGACCTCGTGATCCACCCGCCTCGGCCTCCCAAAGTGCTGGGATTACAGGCGTGAGCCACCGCGCCCGGCCTTGGGATTTTTACGTAGCCCTCAAGGTCTTAAACTTTACTGACCCTGCCCTGAATATTTCTGCAGAGAAAGACTCAGGGCTGGGTTCATCTGTGGTGGGGGGCCTATGAGCTGGCCCCCACCACTGCCCCCGACCCGGGCTTGCCAGATGCAGCGCAGAGGTGTCGTAGATGGAGTTTGGTGGCTGAGGTAGTGAAGGAAGGATCCCTGGGCAAGGCTGCCAGAATCCAGGTCTTGCATAAGCCTGTTCACATGGCTTTCCTCCCTCCCGGCCCCCAGAGGCGGAGCTCTTGGAGTCAACACCCATTGTCTCACTTCTCAGGAAACCAACCTCCCCATTTCCTCCCCCGCTGGCAGTGTGGGTGACCGGGCCACACTGGCGACTCTGTTCTTGCCCTTGAGGAGGCTCAGTTGTTTGCAGTCTTGCCAGAATTGTTTTCCGTTAAGTTTCTCACAAACATGGGTGCTGAAACAGGTATTTATTTCACGGTTGCCAGAAAAACAGCTCAGTACCCACAGCTCCATGGAGAAACTCTATCCCCTCTCTGACTTCCTGCCAGTTGTGATAAGGGCAGGGGGGGAGACATACACTGTGGCCGCCCCATCGGAGAACCTGGCCCCAGGCTCTGGGAGGGGTTTGTGCTGGGGGCTTCACAGCTTTTCCCAGAGTGACCTCATTTCACAAATGGGGAAATGGGGTGGTAGGGACCTGTCAAGGCTCCAGCAAGGCTTTCCCGTGAGGGTGGGAGTTCCTGGGTGTCCCTGCAGGAAGCTGTGTTGCCAGAGATCTTTCTGGAGCAGCTGCTGGCTCCAGGAAAGACTGGGGCAGGGGCCGTCCTGTGGCTTGATTTCTTTTTTTTTTTTTTTTTTTTTTTTTTTTTGAGAGAGAATCTTGTGACAGCCCAGGCTGGAGTGCAGTGGAGAGATCTTGGCTCACTGCAACCTCCACCTTCTGGGTTCAAGCGATTCTCCTGCCTCAGCCTCCCGAGTACCTGGGATTATAGGCGCACTATACCACACCTGGCTAATTTTTCGTATTTTTAGTAGAGATGGGATTTCACCATCTTGGCCAGGCTGGTCTCAAACTGCTGACCTCAAGTGATACTCCTACCTCAGCCTCCCAAAGTGCTGGGATTACAGGCTTGAACCACTGCGCCCCGCCTAGGTGTTTGGGA